GGGGCCCCACAAAAAAAAAGTTATGGCTTTGGCATAGGTGAAATGGTTGATAGTTGTTTCATATTTGTAGCTGGTAATATGTAAAATAAATTGATGTATATTATTGATAGATATGTTGATGTGTATTACAAATGGTGAGTGGCTCATTATATAGGAGAGGGTGAGTGTAGTAGGTGAGGAGTAGGTGAGGAGTAGGTGATGGTAAATTGGTGGTAGGTGATGGTAAATTTTAACAGCCTGGGGCCCCACAAAAAAAAAAGTTATGCCTTTGGCATAGGTGAAATGGTTGATAGTTGTTTCATATTTGTAGCTGGTAATATCTATGTGTGTATATGAATGCAAGTGTATTTTGGGAGGTTTGAACAATAAAAGTTTTTGTCAAATAATGTATTGTATAATGTTTGCATAATGCTTGTAAAGGCTGGATAGAACATGTTTTTTAGTCTAGGAGGTGATGCCATGAAAAAACATTTAGGAGGCATTTAGAAACATTTTATAATTTATTATTTTTATTTATAGAAAATAATAAACATGTTCATATATATATATATATCTTCCATAGACATGCATTTAAAAACTTGTTTAAAAAATAAGCAATTGGGTGGCCAGTGACAGGTGGTGATTGGAGGTAGTTAGACAGTCAGAGGCGGTGGTGGCCAGTGACAGGTGGTGATTGGAGGTAGTTAGACAGTCAGAGGCGGTGGAGAAGGGAGGAGGGAATGCAAAAGAAGAAAAAAAAAAGTACATAATAAGGGATAAATTTGTAATTTCATTTATCCAAACATTGTAAGGTAAATTAATTAATATAAAAGCTCCTAAATGGTGAATAAAGAAGCCCAAACACGGCATAATGGGCCGAAAGTGGCAAAAAGGTTAGCAATAGGACATCGGTGCCTCAAATAGTATAGTAGAAAATAAAAATAATAAAATAAATAATTTTGTAAGTTTATTTATCTAAGCTTATGTGGTGATTTAATTATATTAACTAGATTGGTGCAAATTTGTAATTGAATTTAATAATTATGACAGTTATATGAAGTAATTAGAGAGAATTGAAGCAGTTGTTATAATGTTTTGAGAAATTTTGAAAATAAAAAATAAAAAATGAAAGTTGTTTACAAAAAAATAAAAATCGTTGATATTTATGTAAAATAGAATAGAATAAGATAGATAAAGCTCCTAAAGGGGTGAATAAAGAAGAAGCCCTGTAGCAATAGGAAAACGAATGTAACATATACTGTCAAAAAAATATTTTATTTATTTTATAATAATTATAAAATAATAATTAAATATAAATATATAAAAAGTATTTGATCAAAAATATCAAGTATGTATTCCACACTCTTATCCAAATGTTAATTGTAATCTTTGTTAGGTAGCTACTATGAAAAAAAATAAATAATACCTTCAAAAATATCCAAAAAAATATAAATTCACTTGTTATAAAAGGGAATTTTTTTTTAAGGTACATGATATTAAGATTCTATAAGATAAAAAAAATATACAATATTTTCATAGTAGTTAAGATTCTACAACATTTTTACAAAGAACATTCGACTCAGAGAAATTTTGAAATTTTGAAATTTCGCTGTGATCATACCAGAGAAATTTTGAAATTTCTCTATGAAATTTGAAATTTCTTTGAGTTGGGAATAAAATTTCTCTGAGTCAAATTTTCTCTGTGAAAATATTGAGAGACCTTAGTTAATAAAAAAAAAAAAAAAAATCTTAACCTCTCATACTATACAAAGTTGAAGATGAATGTTTTACTAATTCTCCCGTCAGAAAATCTAAGATCTTTTCCATTACATAACAGAATGTCCGTCAACTTTGATTATAAAATATACAAAAATAATTTAATTTAATGCTCTTGAAGCAAATATTGACGACTATCATATCATATTATCTCTCAAAATTAAAACAAAAGTATTTACACTATAATTTCGGCTTCATTTAAAAAGTAATTATTTTAATTAATTTTGTTGACATTTTATATTTAAAAAAATATGTAAAAAAATAAACAAAAAAATTATGACAATTTATAATAATTTTTTAATTTTTTAAACTAATAACTAAAATCCCAAATAAGGCCTTAAAATGTTAAAAAATTATCTCAAATAACCATCTTCTCTTCCTCTATTTTTTATCTAAAAAATTAAAAAATATACTTATTTATTACCTTCCAAACAACCCCTCAGTATTACCATAGATTACTTGCCCCAGAAGCAATTGAATAATTTGTCAAGATATTCATCCTTGTGTGGTATCTTCTCCTTCATTCTATCAATATAATAATAAAGGGAATATAATAATAAAGGGATTGTAGAAGTCAAAAATGTTTTGATATTATAAAAATGCTTGAGAGCATTAAAAGGGGATCACTAAAGGGAGCACTAATGATGTGGCAGTGGGCCCCGCCCAGTTTCTATGCCTTGTTTTTATTTTTTTATTATTTTTTTTGTCAATTCCTAATATATTACTACTATTAGTGATGTATTTTTTAGTAATCTAAATCATTGTTATTTTTTAGAAAGGGTATTTCTATTTCTAGTTAGAAAAATATATACGTTATAAACAACACACAAAACGGACTTGTATCATCCCCACAGCACTGGTTGCCTCATACCAAAAAAAAAAAAAAAAATCGCATGAAATCCTCGTTTACAACTTAGGTATAAAAAAAAATGATTCTCACATGAAATGAAATCATCCTCCACAAATTTAAAATGAAAACATAGCATGAAAGAAAATCCATATATTAAAGAAAATGAGGTTTTTAATCCACAAGTCTTGTAGAAGGTCTAATATCTCAATTTTAATTTTTTAATTTTAAGAAAAAAAATCTCAACATTTATTGACTTCTCCCAACCTACAAGTCTTTTTGACTTATCCCACATCATGTTCAACTTATCCCATACAGTTAATGATGGAATTGTTAAATTATTTTTCAATACTAATCTTTTTGGGCAAAAAACATTTGGATTTAATTTTATTTTTTGAAATAAAATCTGTCCAACTGTCCAGAATTCAAATTAATTCTGAAAATATTCTGTTTCGATTTTTCCCTATACCCAAACAGGTCCCTACGGTTTTTTATCTGTTTGAATTTGAACCCAACAGATTTGTATCTGTTTATTCAAACTAAACAGGTATCATACATGTTCAAACAGGTTTTGCACCTGTTTAATTCAAACCCAACAGCCATAAATTCTCCTATAAATAAACAGCCCTCATTTGATGTTTCATTAACAAGTTTCGTCCATAATAATTCTACTATTATTCTTACATATTGCTGCATTATTTTCCTTGTAAGAAATAGTGTAAACACTTAGTGTGTTCGTTGTTCGAATAAATTGTAGTGCTGCATTTATTCGTTGATAGATCATTTTATCCTGGGAGATAGACGTCCATATTCTGAAAGCACCGTGGAGAGGACGAATTTGTCTTAAGGACACAGTGTCAAACACTGGACTTGATTAGAATATTATTCAAGATATTAATCAAGTAAGTTGGTTATTTATTTTCTATTTTTTATTTATTTAAATCAAATTTTGATTTTGTTTTTATAACAAAATAAAAATCTGTTTTTATTTATTTTATTTTATTATTCTAGTTTGATTTTTGTAATCGAACGTTCTCTCTCCTTTCTTATTTTTCTTTTGTATTTTGTTTGTAATTTAGTATACAAACATAATTTATTTATTTAAATACAGTGAAGATTGTCTAACAATATCTTCTTCTTTATTCTATTAATATAATAATAAAGGGAATATAGAAGTCAAAAAAATGTTTTGATATTATACTATGACGTCATCCATGATGTCAACGTCCTTCAACACCCACAATAATAGAAAATTTTAATTTTGGAGTTCTAAAAAAAATTTTAATGATTTGGCAAGAAAAAAAAAAAAAAAAACACACACACATAGGCACACACATCGCATCTCATGTGAACCCCACTATTTGTCATATCACTAGAGCTCTCTTTAAAACTTCAAAATTAGATCTTTTATTCAGCAAATAATTAACGAATACAGACAAAAGAAGATTTGGCAACAATCTATTTGTCACTTTGTTAGTCAGTCAAACAAAAATGTTTAAGAGCACTAAAAGTAGAGCTCTAATGAGAGCTCTATTTATGTGGCAATGAACTCCACTCATGAATAATTTGATGTATGCATCTTTTTTGTTTTTTGTTTCATGCCACATCATTAAAGCCATTGTTAAGGTTTCAAATTTAGTGTTATGAATCATTGTTCTCGGGAAAATCCACGCAATCCACATCAGAATTCAGCAAGTTTCCAGAAAGAGCCAAAAAATATACAACAGATTTTAGAAAAAATTACCAATATAAGAGATTACCCCGGTAGTAAGATAAATCTTGAATTTTAATTTTATTAATTTAAATTTAAATTTTTTATTTTATTTTTAATTTAAACTGTTGATATATTTTCATTACGTAAAATTGACCGAAAAATATTATTTTAGTCTTTAAACTAAATGCAAATGTACATAAAATATTTAAAATATTCTTTTTTGTTGATTTTAATGATTAAAATTTTATTTTTTTCATTAATTTTATTTAACAAAATAGAAAAATAATTTAGATTATGAATAAATACAAAATTTAGAATCCAAATTAATAAAATTAAAAATTCATAATTTATTTTGTTATAAGAATCAAATGCTTAAAAAGAAAATTGTAATTTTTTCTAGATTTTCTATTTGTGGATCAATTTGAAATCCTAGATTTACGGGAAAAAAATGGACTGGACAATTCAGTCCGTGGATCACACTGGTTCTATTCTAATAGTTTAACCTATTGAAATTTTAAATTTTTATGTGTAAATTATATATCTATATAATAAGGGAAGAGGGCTTTTGAATTTATCCTAGAGACAATTGTCCTACTAGGACATTTTAACGGTTATGATTCATTTATGCTTGAATATGGATGGTAGAGATGAAAACCCTCTCACTCACTCTAGAACTTCCCACCCAAAAGTCACAAACTTTACAACCACCCATCCTCATCTGTTGCACTTCATTTTTCCAAATTTCAAATTTCAAAACACATCAATCCACTCCCTACAAAGAGACCCATGCTCATCAAACTCTCCAACCACTGCCTATTTGTGATTAACCCACCACTAAGCTCCGATTATGGTCTCCATTCATAAGATTCGGGGTTTTTCTTCCAACTCTCTCTAGGGTTTTCACACCAATCTCCACCTAAAAATTAGGGTTCCAGTGGTGGTGCTTTCAGGGGTTTTTCTTCCAACTCTCTCTAGGGTTTTCACCCCAATCTCCACCTAAAAATTACGGTTCCAGTGGTGGTGCTTTCAATTCAATCCGATCCGATCCAATCCGATCTTCCCTTCTCTTCGGATGAGAAATCTCGAATAACTCACATTCGAGATCGCTCACTCTCTATCTCCAATTTCGAGTTTTCCAGCAAAAATCGACGGCCACGATGGTCCAGCCTCTCTCTCCACTCCTCTGCTTCCTCGGGGTGCTATGGATTCTGGCGCAACGCTACTCTGGCGGTCCATTCAGCTCTGTTTGTGCTCTACTTGGCTTTTCACGACATCTCCACTCACCGACTACGAACAACCGACCACCTCTCCTCACCTCTTGCTGTCATCACTCCTCTTGACCACCAACCACCGACTCTCTTCTCTCGCACTCCTGTTTCACCTCTCTCCTCTTACGACGACATTGCAACCATTTAGAGGTAAACTACAACTTACAAATTTGTAATCCATGATATTTTTGTGGGTTTCTCTCCTCTTGGATTTGGGTTACAATATTTTTGGTTCTTGCTTGAGTTTGGTGATGGGTTTGATATGTTCTTTTGGGGAAATGGGTTTCAGAATTTTAGTGTTTCATTTTGAATTATTTTTTATATGGGTTATAGAGTTGAGGATTATAGGGAGGAACATTGATTGGAAGAGAATTGAGGGTTATAGGGATTGATTATTATGTATGTTTGATGAGTTTTGTGGTGTGAAAGATTGAATCTTGGGGTCCAAAATGAGCACCCAGAAGTCGGCTGTGACAATTCGGGACCTGGCTGAGGAAGCCAAGAAGCGGATTGTTTATCTGATCATATATGCGTGGTTGGGTTGTCTTATCTCATGTCTTGTAAGTTTTGGGTTTTTTTTGTTTCATTGAATTTTGTTGCAGATTCATCACACTTTTTATTGATTAATGGTGAAGATTCATCTTTTTTAATTGGTTCAGTTGGGTTCTTTATTCTGAATTTTGAATTTGATTGTTGTGTTCATTTGGTTGATGGTGATTTATTTATCATGCACGATATCTTGGCCATTCTTTTCAATTTTTCTAATTGATTATATATCTTTTTGTCAGTTCCTTGGAATTTAGGTACATTTTCATGTACAGATGGAAATGGAGCATGTCATATATGAAGGTTCAAGGAGGACTTCCATTGGTGGATGTAACTAAAATTTAAAGCACCTTTTTACATGATATGGAAAAATGAGGCTACACATTTTTGAGTTTGAAATGGTAAAAATCATTAGGTTCCAAATGTAATAGTCTGTTCAAAATTTGATATGCATATTTGAGACATTTGCATTGATTATTATGAGATCAACTCATGTCACGTTCAAGTCATGGATCCAATGATATCTTAGATTGGCAATCAGCTTTTACTTTGTTCACTTATTCTTTCTTTTTATTTTTATTTTTCCACAAATTTAATATCCCAATACAACATCAAGGAACCGGCAAGGACTACTAAATATGTAGCTGAAGTCTTATTTGGGGTTAGACCCAAATGGTGCTCTGCTGA